GAAACATTTTCCTAAGCATCGTAATTATCTGGCTAATCCCGCTTCAAATGCGCCTAGTCTAGTTACTTGAAGTTGGCTTCAAAAGGCCAAAACATGGGAGAAAACAGGAAATTTACTAGTAAATAAAACCAAACGAAAGTCATTTCCATTTAAAATTCAATCACAGAAGAATTGTCGTAACTTTCAGCATAGGTGTCAGTCGCATCCTTTTTGTTCGATGTCTGCGAGTCATCTGCAGAGTCATCCTATAAGTAGTAAAGGAAAACCACGTGCTTTTAGGTGAAATTAGAAGAGGAAGTTTCTTCTAAAAGTACCAACCCTATAGAACAGTCTGAAATTTTTATCTAGGCTTTATTTGAGTTTGGAAGCGCCAAGCTTAGCACTAAACCTTTGCTTCTCTTATTTCTTCTTCTTCTTCTTCTTCTTCTTCTTCTTCTTCTTCAAGTAAACTTGAAGTAAACTTTAACTTTAAGTAAACTTGTTTTTACAACGCTCGCGTGGCTACTTTTCAAAAAGTTGTCTCATACATAAGCACACCTTTAAATGGGTTTATGTGAGACTGTCAAATCTGGGTAAATTGTTGAGATTCATTTTTAGCAGCTATCAGGCAGTAATCCAAAGATAAATAAAATAAAAGTAGAACTTACCAGTAATGCACTGTCATCATAGGACTGGGCCGGACGACAGTGTCGAAAACAATTATAGAAAGCAACTGCTTGAGAGGCCATCAACGACTGTCGAATTGGTTTTTTGGTGTTCATGCCTTTAAACAAAGTCGTATAAATAGATTTTCAGTACTATGTATACAAAAAACTACGATTTAAAAACAACGGGCAATATCGGCAGTAGTATATGGACTGGCTGCATGCGCTATGTTGCAGGTATCTCCATGTGCAAAGTAAAACACCCTTCGCTACTCCAAAAAGAAGCTTGATGGACAACTCCAATTTCTGGATGTCCTTGTACATCGAAATACTGATTGATCGCTCCGTACATCAGTCTACCGTAAAGAAACATATTCGGAGATCACCATACATTTTGAGAGCCCTCACCCAATCTCCTCCAAAAGGAGTTTTGACTATAGCCTTCTAAAACCCGCTGCTCTGATGAAGAAAGTTACCAAGCAGAAATAAACTACCTCTTTCTACTATTCTCCAAAATGGATATCCAAGAATCTTCGTGCCTCGGTGTATAAAACGACAGGAATCCAAACAAAAGGGCATTTCAACTAATAAAACCACCTAAGCTTTTAAAACAATGACCTAACGAACTCTCTCATACGTGAAAAATGTGCATGAGCTTGTCGAAAGACAGCTAAGAAAATATCAGATACAAGTGGCATACAATCCCGCAACCACCTTACGCTCACAACTTGTACACCCTAAGGATAGGGTTGGCTATCTTGAAAGAAAACGTATTGTCTACAAGATCCCTTATGCCAGTTATGGTGCAGTTTATTGTGGCAAAACTAAGAAATGCGCCCCAACTCGCGTACACGAACATGAATTAGCGGTCAGAAGACGAGAGCAGGTGGCCATGCACACACTTGAAACCGGTCACAAATTCACGTGGGAGAACACAAGGATTGTTGACGCTTTTCAACCAAAAATGCCGTGAATTCCTGGAAGCAATGCCCTCAGATGAGGCACGCATCAACAGGCATATCGATTTGGACGCGAGCTATAATTATCTCAAAGCCAACGCGCGCGGCCAACCACGGCAGGATGACGAAATGTGTGGAATGCCTATTGGCGCAGAATTCAGCTAATTTTAGTGAAATTTGTTAGATACGGTTAATTTGGTGAGTTGTTCCTGTACATATCCCATAGTCTGACGACAAGCTGAGGAACCAGCTTCGAAAACTTACTCATTAAAGTTTCAAGTTTCCCAAAGGAACTTTTCCCTTCTCAAATAATACATTTTATGATTCGTACGCTTAGGTCACATGGCACAAATTTTTTTATGGTTGCATGCACTATATTGAAATAATCTCCGTGTGCTGTCCCAAATGGAATGCATAATAATATAGTTCAAGATGCGTACGGTTTAGATCACACGGGGAAAATTATTCTCCCATGTGACCTAAAGTGCGTAGGAATCATGAACTGTAGTACTACGCATTTTATTTTTTTTCAACCATCATGTGCTCCAAGAATGCCGTGAGCTCGCTAATGATTAACAGGAGTGTGAAAAAAAGCGTTCATCTTCATGGGATTCCACTCACCAGTGCACTCTTTTTACGACTTCAATAACATGTGTCCTCCTGTTCGCATACCGACTGGTTACCGAAGTGATAAGGTATGTTCGGTAGAAGAAGTCCTTTGGGAAACGATAGTTAATTATGTGATTTTTTGACACTAGCTCACCAGATCGTCATCAAACAGAGGGGATGTGTACGAAACAGTTAATTCAAAATGATGGCTTACACAAGATTATAGAGTGGGTCAGGGTATAAGTCGATAATCTTTACCCGTCTGTAATTATGCGGGCGGTCGGGAACTAGTTTACGACCACCTTCAATCGTGCGGTCGGCGTTGGCTGGTTTTCGCTTCATCTAGTCCGGATATACCGTCGTCTTTTCCATGTATCCCTGAGGTTGGAGCACATGGCGTTCAGTTCGACGTACCTGTTGATGCAAAAGCCGTCGGAGTTGATGGCTTCTAAGAATTCGCGGCCCTTCTTGGGTGGACAAGAGCCAGCAATGCGAGTTTCGTCCGATGCAAATTAGTGTTCAGTTTCTAGTGTGTGCATGGCGACTTCGAACAAATGATATCGCCCCTTTGCCGTTCGTTGGTGTTCGCGTAAGCGTGTGGAGGCCGATCATCCTGTTTGTCCGCAATAAACTGCATTGCATCAGCTACAAGGAATTTCGTAAACGACCTCTTTTCTGTCCAAATAGCCAACCCTATCTTTAGGGTGTACAAGCTGATTTCGTTGGTTTGTACGCGACTTGGATTTGATGCTCCCTCAGGTGTCTTTCAATGTTTTCAGACACGTTCTTAACCCATTACCTCTCGGTGATCTCATATGAGATCACTTAAAA